TTAAATAAATATAAATTAGTTATTTTTAATTTTGATTTGCTTGGCTGATTTTAGGCTGATTTAGGTTGATTGATGATCAAATTTAGGTAGTTTTTAGTCTAATTTTAGATAGCCTATTGATGACTGATTGATATTTCCGATTGACTCATATTGTGTCAATTGGAATTAATGCAAATCAGCCCTAAATCAGCCATCAATCATCCATCAATCGTCTGTCTGATTTTTAGCTGATTTGTATCCATTTCGACCAGTGGCTCGAATATTAATCAGATCCCAGAAATTCTCAATATGAATATTTGAATTAAGTAAAACGAGCTGATCTACAGCCTCTTTGCTAATATTTTCACATCCTTTCAGATCAAGATATTTTAAATTAAAACACAAACTAGCAATTTCTTTGATTGTTATATCTGTAATTTCACAAAAGATAATGTCAAGATGCTAGATCTTTGGAGAGGAATAAATAATACCGCAAATTGAATGTTCATTAATTTCTATGCGAAAGGCAATATTTAAATATTCTAATTTATGACATGACTGTACAATTCTCCATAGATTTCTATCATCCACTTTTCGAGCACGTAAACTCCTAAAGCTAGCTGACTGATTACCACACAGATTAAGATACTTCAGATTTAGATATGAACTTGCTATTAGTTCTAATGCTCTATTACTAAATCCTATGCTATTTTTGAAACTCAAATATGTTATATTTAGGCATGAATGTACTGTAAAATGCGCTCTATAGTATCCTAGGTATTTTACAATCTACAAAATTTTAAGGGGTACTATAATCAGAAGGTACTTTAGTATGATAAGGTTATAATACATGGCAAAAAAGTCTTAACTATATATAGGTAACAAGTTAATAAATGTGATGCAATAATTTTTTTTGATTAAACTATGGCGATAATTGGTAATAAACGTCATAAGTATACTAGAATTACTAAAAAACTTCAACAACAATGGTGTTCTCGCAAAAAACTTATGATATTACATTATACACAAAGAGTTCAAAGTAAAAAGGCTGCTGCAAAAAGGTTTGATATTGAACCAAAGCAAATAAGAGATTGGGAAAAAAAGGGAGCAACTTATGATTTCAGCTCCATATATTAAAAAGTTACATTCAGGAAAGTCTTCAAGTTTACCTGAATTAGAAGTATCATTATTTCAATGAGTTCAGGATAGGGACGGTAATTTTATGCTATTACATAATATCACGTTAAACACATAATTATGCGATAAATGCATAATTCAAGTTGATCGCGTTATAAAATCACATAATTTA